CCCCCCGCTGTTGGAGTAAGGCTTTCATCTTTTAACATAGCACTTATTGTCAAGACCAACATAGAAGGAATAGCTGCACAAGGTTCAGTTCAGGAAAACCGTGAAGGTAGGAACCTGTAGAGTAGAGACTTTTAGGATCCAGTGGAACTACATTAAGAAACAGAGGTTTAGAAGAGCATCAGTACCAGACTTTCAAGTCTGTTTTGGAGAATGTAGAACCTCTCCTTGCTTCAGGTTGTAAAGAAAGCCAGTATACCCAGCACACAGCAGCTGAACTGATAAGCAATCTAAGAATTTCAGTTGTCTCATTTGGTTAAACAATTTTTAGTGAGGCCAGAGAGACTGGTAGACTATATTAGGGGTGGGGGAAGCAAGAAGAGGGATCATGTTTTCCCAATCCATACACTCATGAAATCTGCAGGACAGCAAGCAGGGAAGGGAAAAGAAGGAGGAAAACATACTTAAGTGAATGAACTTAGATAACACACAAAAATATTTGTACAATACACAAGTGCTTTTCCAATACAAAAGTTATTTGAATCTGTATTTACATTATGTATAGGCATTTGATGTTCTATAGTCTCTAAATTTAGGAAGTTTATGAACAATGTGGGCAACCTGACTAGGACTGCCAGCCAGCGGGTCTCTCTATGACATAGAAAGTAAATCCCAAAACTTGGGCTAAGCAGGTACATATAAGTACTCTGACTAGTTGCATATATGGACATACCATGGTAAAACATTGACAGGACCCATCTCCAATCCTGGGGCCAGGTGGTACCAGTTACATCCTGTTATAGGGCACATAACCTTACATCACCCCCGGGCTCCATGAGACACATTTGTAGCCTGAAGACAAACATTTAGGTGGGGAGAGGAGTCATTCACATTAGTTTCTGTTCAGACTGCTAAACAGAAAGCTGTAAGTGGCACTTTCATAGCAGAAAATTGAGAGTACGTGGTGCATTCCCTCAGTAAAAGGTACAGGCATATAGGAACAAGCAGGAGGCATCATCTCATCCAGGATACTGTAGCAATAGAGGGAGCAAACCTTGTACAACCTTGCCTGTATCTCTACTAGAACTGGCTCCTGGAGTTTCCCATACAGCATCCAAACATTGTCCACAACTTGAAGTAACAAAAATTAACCTCATTTGTTAAATTTTCTCCTCCACTGAAAGAGCAGCTTTCTAGTTGTATCCAACGGCATGCTAATTCATATTGGACAGAGCAACATCAATACAGTAGTTAAATCTAGGTTTTGCTCTTAGTTATTGTGTAGTTGGGAGGTTAACAAGGAACATGAGTACACAGTTGTGTATAGAACAGCAACCATTTCAAACACAGCAAACAGCAGATCAGGCCATGCAGTTAAACCAGCTGGTATGAACTGGGAGGATCAGGAACCAGCGAGTTCCCTTGCTCCAATTCAGGAATGTCAAATACGCACACACCTACCTGCCTCCCACTATTAGGGAAGTAAACCACTGCTAGATTTCCTTTTACCACAAACCTATGTAATTTGTTATGTTAAAGACCAAAGGCATTCCTGTCTGGTACCTTCCTCTGCAGCATTTAACCACAACAACAATTTATTTTAAAATATTAAGCCACATAAGTTATAACTTACGTTGTTACATATCTAAAGAGAAATTGCTAGGAACAAGTTGCTTCAAGACAACTTCAAACCAAATAAACCATTAGAATATAAACCAGCCATCCAACCAGATGAAGTTCTCTCACATCTGCAGTAGTTTGAATACATCAGGCTTCGTAGAAAATCCTGAAAATAACAGTCTAATATGGGGTATTTCAAAAGACAATAAAATTATATTCAGCAACAGACTATAAAGAAGCAGTGTTCTAACAGGCAGGATCATGAACTAAGGACGTCCTGGCTTTGCCCTTTCTGTGTAAAGCAATTTTCCTTTTTAGTTCTTTCACCAGCATCTTTCCTGACAGCCTCACATACTTCAGGAACCTATTCAAGCAAGGATTTGCTATTTCTCTAAACATTTATGCAGGAATTAACACAGTGGGAACCTAATTTGGTTCTGATCTCCAGACTAGGAGAATAGTAAGACATATGCATGCAGCAATAAAATCAATGTCTTTCCTGCTAAAAGAGAAACAAGTGCCATTCTATATGGATTCAGATACTGCTAATACAATCACATGTTCAAGTAAACCTAAAATAATGCCCTACATATGTAATTTTGCGATAGTATTTTTAACCTCAGACATCATCCACACTGTGTTCTTACAAGAAAAAAAAAAAAAAGGAGGAAATTACAAACACTTAGTACCTAAAAAAACCACTCACACAAATTCTGTTCCCTTCAGACATCTTCCTTCTACAAGTGCTGGCTGTTATCAAATTACATTGGTATAGTTAATCCATTTGTGAGACACCTAGAATTATTTATTAAGTAATGACAAAAAAATCAGAATTCTGAGAACACAAGAGAAGTCTCAGTGGGATATTACCAATTCTAACAAGCTTTAGATATTCCAAAAAGCTGGCAAAAATATCCAAATAAGCTATTTTCTCTCCTGGAAATAAAACCATGGTTAGCAGAATTCAAATACTGAACTATTATGATACAACCAGAAGTATGCCATGTGTGCACAGTTACAGAAAAACCTACAGAGTAGAACTCTTGTAAAAGCAAAAAAATATTTTAGAATGGAAAAAACTTACTTGTGCATATTTTCCACTCCTATTATGATCATGATATAGTAGGAAATTCCACTTTGTATAACAAAATGTAAGGCATACCTAGGGGAAAAAAAATCATTTTATTTAGAGCACGCATTTTTTATTTAAGCACACATTTAACATGGAAATAAGAGGTTCAAATTTTAGCTCCATTACTGCTTCAAAAAAAACCTTTTGTTCTATTTAGGTTTTCTGCAGCCCTCCCTTCTGTTGCGAGCTTCCCCCTTCAGCACAGCACAGACAGCAGTAATGATCAAAACCCACAGACTTAGCTAGAATTCTCCAGCTCATAAACAAGAATATAGTAAATGCTGATAATCCTTCAAAAATTAACAAAATACAGCTCATAATACTTCCACTTAGTATTATTTTGTGTGTAAATAACACTAATGTTTTGTGGTTCGATTTTTATACTCATCTTTTTACCTGTTTGCAACCACAGGTATCTCAGTTAAGGCCAACAATATCTTAGTATCCATAATATCAGTATACGGGAAGATTTCCCAGTCAATTGAAATGGTAACTCTGTCCAGCCAGTCTCTTTGCCCTGTGTCATCAATAATTGATGAAGGGATGGTGGTCATGACTGTCTCAAAACCACAACAAACCTCCACACTAACAACCCACAGATTTATTTCACAAAGGTGATCTAACCTCTTCTCCTTATTTGTTTTCCACAGCTTACCACCACAGCTATCCACATCACGGTTGTGGGGTTTTTTTGTTGTTTGTTTTGGTTTGGTTTGGTTTTTTGTTTTGTTTTGTTTTTAAAGGAATTATACTTCAGTAAGGTAGAACACTGTGGTAAACCATTGCCAGTGGTTGGGGAAAAGCATCTGATCTGCAGTAAGTTGATTCCCTTTCACTCTGGTACTTTAAGTGCTTCAGTAGCATACTCGCATGTGCTCAAGTGACACACTGCTCTAGTTTTGGAACTTTTCTCATAAAAAACCAGCCTAAAAAGCATAAAAAGCAGCCACTATTTTATTATACTGATACTGTTTTCTTTCAGCTCATCACCAGCAACTACCTAATTTCACTCTTCATCTATTCACAAGGAAATGTCTTCAAAGATTTTCAACAAGAAACCCAGTTCTATCCAGCTAAAATCCTACAAAGTCTACACATGATGAACTGAGGGAAAGCAATTTCACTTGGGTATTAACTGACCTTGAAAAGCTTGACTTTTTATGGATGATCCAATCTGTACACGCTCCCATGCTTCACTACTAGCTAGTCTCATCTAAGATATGACTACCTAAAATTCAAATGCACATTTAATATAAGCAATTGCCAATTAAAAAAAAAACACCAAAATTTTTTGTATCAGCCACATATTAGCAACACTATGTAGCAAAGACAGCATTAGTGTAATGACAAAAATTACAGAGGTTTGCTTCTTAAATGGAGAAAGGGACATAATATACCAAAGCCTGAAAAAAATGAGGGTTGACATGGAGTAACATATCAAGATTACAGTCTCTGAAAACATTTCTCTTTCAGAGTTGTTAACAGTAGCAATATGATTGATCTCTGATTCAAAAATTAAAAGGGATGCATTCAAATACAACATGAAGTAGTAAATTTTCAAAGGGTATTCTAGGCCTTTTATGCTAGTTGGTGTTATCCCCAAGGGCATTATCCCTTCTCTTCCTATTCCACATCACCATCACAAGCACTGCAAAGGTGACTGAAAACTAACACACCTGAAATTGAAGAGAACAACATAATGACTAATAAATATTCTTAAAGAGGGTGTAGATTCCAAAGTACTTCCCACATTTAGGTTTTCATGAGTTTATATGAAAATCTACATTTACTATAAATATTGTATAAGGAAACAGGAACCGTTTCCTTCTTGTACACACACATTGTAACACAATTGAAGAGCTGTTGAAGGTATACCATAAGATAGTAACATGTATGTATACTGAATTCCTTGGAGAGGGATGAGGGGAACCCAACAACCCAAAACCCTCAAAAAACATGTTTGCACAATACAAACTTAAGCAATAGGAAAAAGAGTTGGGACGAGTGTAACAAATGTTAAAAGTACACATTCTTTAAAAAGGTGATACATCTCAAATTATGTTCTCTTTGCCATTTTTAAAAAGCTTTTAACTCCATAATTATAAAGAAAAAAATATTTTACTAAAACTGAAATTCATTGCTAAAATAATTGCTTTAAGTATGATCCAAAGCAAATTAAAATAATCTGGATTTCTGCTATGGCATAAAATTTATCAGGTTATCTTCTCCAGGGCATATTGCCAAAGAGAGGCTTCCACAAATCTTTATTTACATCTGTTGGGTGTGGAGGTTGTTTTTTTGTTTTGTTTTTTTAAAGTCTCCAATCCTCAAGTTTCAGATATGAATATATTGTTAACCTTTTCTAATTACAAGCTATAATTAATCATTTCTGTTTCTAAACCACTGGATACAGAATGTGTTTCTAAAGCTTACACAGCTCTCACAAAAACTACACACAACATGACCTATCTCTCATATCATCCTCCTCATTTGGTGCTAAAACTGGAAGTCTCTGACATCAGATAATTCTCTCAAAGCAGAATACCATGGCCTAAAGTTTAAGAAATGAATGGGAGTTATGGAATTATATACACACACAAGTAAACTGCACATGTAAATGCAAAGAGTAAAACTTACTGATTTTCTTTTCCTAAATTTAGGAAAAGTGATATATACCAAGAAATATTAAGAAGCCTCTGCAACATGCTGATGTAGAGACCAAATCTCTGGTTTGGAAGTCCAGAATTTATTTATACCCACTCTATGTGTGCACAGACACATGTGTGCACACAATCTGTGTATCATCCCACCTGCACTACAGCTTGATAAATTCCCCCTAGTTGAGTAATACTCTACAGTAGTCAGTATAAATAAGTTGTCTTTAACATCTTTATTGATGATCTTGATAAGGACATATAGTGTGTCATCAGTAAGTTCACAGATGACACCAAGTTAAGTGGGAGTGTCGATCTGCATGAGGGTAGGGAGGCTCTACAGAGAGACTTGGATAGATTAGATCAGTAAGCCAATGATAATGGAATGAGTTTCAACAAGGCCAAGTACCAGGTCCTGCACTTCGGTCACAACCACCCCCTGCATGGCTACAGGCTTGGGGATGTGTGGCTGGAGAGATGTCTGGAAAAAAGGGATCTGGGGGTTCTAATTGACAAGCAGCTGAACATGAGCCAGCAGTGTGCCCAGGTGGCCAAGAAAGCCAACGGCATCCTGGCTTGTATCAGCAATAGTGTGACCAGCAGAAGTAGGGAGGTGATAGTCCCCCTGTACTGGGCACTGGTGAGGCCACACCTGGAGTGTTGTGTCCAGTTCTGGGCACCTCAATACGAGAGAGATATCGAGGTGCTGGAGCGAGTGCAGAGGAGGGCAACGAAGCTGGTGAAGGACCTGGAGAATAAATCCTGTGAGGAGCGATTGAAGGAGCTGGGACTGTTTAGTTTGAGGAAGAGAAGGCTGAGGGGACACCTCATCACTCTCTACAGGTCCCTGAAAGGACATTGTAGAGAGGTTGGTGCTGGTCTCTTCTCACAGGTAATTAGTGACAGAACACAAGGGAATGGCTTTAAAGTGCAACAGGGGAGGTTTGGACTGGACATTAGGAAAAAAAAATTTCACAGAAAGAGTGGTCAGACAGTGGAATAGGCTGCCCAGGGAGGTGGTAGAGTCATCATCCCTGGATGTGTTCAAGGGTCGTTTAGATGAGATGTTGGGGGATATGGTGCAGGGGAGAACTTGTATAGTAAGGCTGATGGTTGGACTCGATGATCCCAAGGGTCTTTTCCAACCTGAACGATTCTGTAATTCTATATACTTAAAGGTGAGCAAGCACTTTGTTTACCATGCAGTAAAATGAAACTGGCACTTAATTTTAAGCCATCTTGGGAAGATAAGAGCCATTTAGTAAGCTAATTTTGAAGGGAAAAAAAAATTCACCAAACTAAATGCATACCCTTTACTAGTCCTACTGACAGTCTGGCTTGTTACACTGTGAAAAGATCAAGATATTAAAACAGCAGTCACAGAAAATTTGTGTTTAAAGAAACAACAAAAAAACAAACCACATCCTCCCTTGAAAACATAAAAGACACATCCCCTCAAAAAATATCTCAAAGGCCAGATGTTTTATACTACTAGGAGCATAATCAGTACTGCAGTTCCAACCACTCTTCCTACAAAAAGTCAGATTATATTCAATATTCAAAAAGACACAGCAAGGTCTCTCAGGCAGTGCATATCTATGATAAATTTTCTTAGTCATCACACCTGTGCTGTGCCTCAATACTTCTCAAGCAAGTTTACAGAAAAATTGGTACAAGTTAAATAAACTGCACCTGCTCCATCCTTCCAAAATCACAGGCAGACAGTATGTTATCAGTTTGCAAATGGTAGATCTTGCAAAATTTGTGCACCGCATCAGAAAATTTAAGCTCATTTTTGTACATATGCAGCAGCTAAAACCCACAGAATTAGTTAATAAGGTTCTTCAAAACAAAACTTTCCTTCCCTGCAAACAAGAAATGAAAAATCTACAAGTCTCTTAAAAGTGATTTTAAGTGCAACTTACCATCCAAAACAAAAAAGTGCAAGATAAAGGCCCAAGAGGGTTGCAACAACATGTCTTATAAATGGGCTAGTTTTGCTTGAATGAAGGTATGTTCGAAACCAAATAGCTGCAAGCAAGGCAAACAGTTGGCACACTACAAAGTTGACCTGCATAAAAAAAGAAAAGAAAAAAGTTCTCACACACTTGTGTATTAAAAACAAACAGAAATATCCACACACTATTAACAATTTGTAGAACATTTGGCTCTACCATGGCTCTTTACCACAGCATGTCAGACTCAAAGGGCTTCTCCTGAGAACCTCTCCCTCCTAAAGCACAAAACAGTGCTCCCCTGAGCAGCCAAGAAGAAAACATACATCAAACCTGTGAGGCAATCTGTGCACAAATTAAGGGGGGGGGGAAAAAAAAGGTACCTGTTTTCCTGCAAATTTTCTGTATACTAAACCACTCTACCAACCACTGAATTATTTCTACTCTCCCAGTAATGTGAAGATCTGGGTTGGGTTTTTATCTGTTTTTTAAGTGAGCATGACTTGGAAATAAATATCAGCTACACAAATCACTGGCAGATCACTTCAGTGGCCTTTGGAGAAACAGGGCTCAACAAAGTGCAATTCAGTGGTACATAATCAAATAAACAGTTTGGCTGCACACTGGATTTTCTTCTTGTACATTCAAGTAGGATAGTTTCAGAAATTCCTCCTCCCTTCAGGCTGTTTATTCTAGAAGATAGAAAATCTCTTGTATATTAAAGACATTAGAGCACTGAAAACAAAAGTGGAATAAAAAAAGAAAACCAGTGAGTAAAAGAATCATTCTGACCGTGGCCTTAAAAAAAATACATATATATTTAACAGCAAGGGCATGATAAAGAAATAATTTCCTCAAATACATCAACCACTACCAAAACTGGCTTAAGCCACAAACAGCCAGATGAATCCTTTTTTTAGAAAAGAGCATTTCCCACTCCATGGATTTTCTTTCATAGAAAACCAACTAACAATTTTCTGTGTCTCATAGCAGCATCCCAAGACATCACAAATAATAACTTGGGGACCACTGCTTCAGGTCATAATCATGTCAACACAAGAAATTTGCACACACTGTATCCTCCACTAGTCCTTAGCACAACATTTTTGCCTGTTTGATGCCATTTAGCTGAAATACATACTTAATACAACAGGGTACAATGACAATACTATTTTTACTTTCATGACAGCAGGGCTAATATTGACGTTTGCAGCAACAGGGTGCACATCTCTAGTACTACTCAGCTAGTCCATTCCATCATTTTTCAGCCAAGCTTCAGGCGGTAACAGGTAAGGGTGAGAGTATGCAAATATGGTTATATTTAATGTAGAAGCTAAGTAACACCAGCTACCTACAAAAGTCTCATCCTTGTAACAATTGCCTAGATTCCCCATTTGCAAACCCAAGGATAAGTCCTCTTTTTCTGAATCACTTTAAAATTTCTGTAATACCAAGTTACACCAGCATTAAGTGCCAGCAGGGAAAAGAGTCTCACAAGGCAGGACTGCTCTTTTTAATAAGAGCAATTCCCTGAACTAAACAGTCATGTACACTTTGCCATCCATTCTCTTACTCCCACATTTTCATTATGCTTTTAACAGTATTTGAAAAATCCTAAATAAATGAGGAGATATTCTTTCAGGGCATAACTTGACCTGTTTTCTCTCCTTTATAAGCAATGATGCAAATGAAACAGAGCGAGATTTATAACTCGGGATGAGTCTGTGGATTTAATGGAAAAGCTTCATACAAAACAGTCAAGTTTAATGAACCACTGAAAAGGAAACAAACTGATAATGTTTTTTTAAAAAAGAGGGCAAGAAAGAAAAAATAAAGCCAAAGTAATTAAATGTTCATTCAGTATTGACATTTGGTTTGGATATTTATTACAGAAATTATTCTATGTATACCACAGAGCATGTTTCTGACCCAAGGAACTCACACCTTTGAGAGACTGGAAGGTGGAGAGAGACAGGAGAAAATTAGGACAGGTACACAGTGAAGCTGAGGTGAAGAGACAGAGGGACAAAATGGACATAAATACCTGTTCGTAAGTGGACAAGTTAACACTGCTGATTTTACTGAATGACCAGACCTAACTGCTTTGGCTGCATTACAGATCATTTACCAATTGATGTCTCATGATGCTGCTTTTTTTCAGATCACCTCTCAGAGCAAGCTAGCAAGACTCAGGAAAGAAGAAAAGTCACCACCTGCCTCCTACTGTTACCACGGCAAAGGGTAGAAGTGCTTGGCATCTCTGACCTGGATCATCATCTCTATAGAAGCAGACACAAGCAAAACAACAAACCTTGAATTTCACAATTCAGGATGAGCCTGCAGGTTTAGGAATGCAGAAAATCCTCATACAAAACATGCATAAAGAATCCAAGAACGGTTCCCCCTCTTCACTCCCTACCTGCTGACGCCTTTCCTAGGCACTTGCTCTTGCTTTAGCTATTTACTCAAATGACTAAACCCATATCTTAAAAACAGTATCCCATTAACTAAAACAAAAAACAAACCAAACAAAAAACAAGAGCCACAAACAAAAAGAAAAAACCCCAAACCACTGAACACAAAACCAACCACAAGCCCCCCAAAAAACCTAGAACTTCCCCAATAAGAATAGTTCGAGAACAGCAATAACATGCAGGATATCATTCCTTTAGAACAATCTCACAAGCAAAACCTCCAGGGATGTTAATTCATGACATTGGTGTTTTGCACACACAACTAAATGACTCAAGCAACACAACTTTCTTTTGAAAGCCTTCCTCACAAGTGACTCCAAAACTACCAGTGGGTATTTTTAAACTGTTCTTCTGAACAGTTAAAAAAAAAAAAAAAAAAAAAAAAAAAAAAACCAAAATCAAAATGGAAACATAAAAGATATCACCACAACGTTCACACACATACACCACCCTGTGTTCCTTCTCTACTCTTACCAATCCAATCCTTACACTTGCCTCACAATGCACAGAAATGCAATTATCAGCACCAACTGTTTTGCAGACTTGTATCACATCAAATCCTCCTAAAGTTTTAAATACATATTTGTAAAATCAAGCAACAGCAGTTAAAATTTGAAAGCCACGCAACTTCAGTTTAGCCTTTATACATATCTACTTCTGATAATATTCTTTCTGCTCCTTTATTCCATTTTCCTCAGCAGGATTTCTGATTATGTCAGCAAATGGACAGTTGCCCAGTTCTTGCCCTCATCCTACGACCCATTAAATGCTTTCCATCTGCATTCTACACCGAATACAAAAACCTTACATTTCCCCATAGACATGTTTATGCAGATCTGTCTGTAATGTGGGGAGGACTACATAGAGTAAATGTAAACTCTGCAAGATCAGTATTTCTTATTGCTGTTCTAAAGGTGGGTGACTGGCACACAATGATGAAAACCCAGAGGGTAAAATAAATTCCAACCAACTTTAGTTTCCCAATATCAAACACTCAGTGCCTAGTTTTTCAGTCGTTACTTCTAACAGAACTTTAGCTGAAGCTGTGGTTTGAAAATAAAACTTCAGCTTCTATTTTGAATATCCAGCATGACTATAAATCAGGCCCAAAGTATCTCAACATGCAAAGTAAAATTGAGAGTCATCACTAGAACATGTTTTCATTATATTCTTTCTCTAGGTCACTAAAACTCTGGTTTACTAGTGATTTGTATTCTGAATAAGGGAAGGAACTCATATGGAAGAGTTTGCGAACACTACTGGACTGTGTTACAGTCACCTAAGTAATCTTCATCTGACACTTTTTCTGACTTTGGATCATCTGCTATCACACTGGTAAACGTTTTGAATATCCGGTTTCTTACATTTTAAAAAGAAATGGAAAACTAGCATTTCTACCAGAAAGTCAAAGCTTACCTGTTTGATATTACCTGTAGATTTCAGTGCAAAGCACAAATTTCTACCACTTCTGTTATCAGAAATGCGTACTCACTGTCACACAGAGATACAGTTAAATCCCTTGACACTACTACAGGGGGCAGAAAGAGAAACAGACTCCATGGGCTCCTAAATTCCATCCCATGCACTTCCAATTCCAGCAGCAAGACAACACGTGCATCTACACAGCATTTTAGTTCAGATCAGGAGAGGACTACTGAAACAAACCTCCCAGTTGTGTAGAAGAAAAGAGGTGGACAGGAGAAGGTCCAGAGGAGGCCCACAAAGATGATCAAAGGTTTGGGAAGCCTGCCATATGAGGAAAGACTGAGAGAATTGGGTTTGTTCAGCCTTGAGAAAAGAAGGCTTAGGGGAGGCCTTATCACCATGTTCCAGTATTTTAAAGGGTGGCTACAAAGACTGTGAAGACTGTCTTTTGACAAGGAGTCACATGGAAAAGACGAGGGGTAATGGCTACAAGTTACTCCTGGGGAGATTCCAACAGGACACAGGAGGAAAATGTTTCCCAATGAGAACAATCAGCCATTGGAATAATCTCCCCAGGAAAATGGTGGATTCCCCAACACTGGACACTTTTAAGTTTCAGCTGGACAGAGTGCTGGGACATCTTATCTAGATTGAGCTTTTGCCAAGAAAGGTTGAACCAGATAATCCATGATGTCCCTTCCAACTTGATATTCTGATTCAGTTGTCCTCACTCCAGATGCTTTGGCATGCATTGTACAGTGGTGTCTGAGTACACAAACCTGACTTCTTTTAAGCTGAACTGAACTAAAAGATCTGCTCCAAAGGTAAGGGGACACTTAGCCCATTGACTGACCTAAGCGAAATCAGTATTTCCCAAGATTATGACAACATCAGTATTGGATCCTCGATGCCAACCACTTCATTCCACAGAAAAAAAAAAAATATTCCTCTACTGCACTACTTGCAGAGGTAAACAAAGACAAAATTTAACACACATCCTTTTCCTAATCACATCTCCCATCTTTACCCACATTAACCAGTGTGGAGCTGACATACAGCTCCACCATATCCACACACTGAGATACACGAAAAACTGAAGATACAGAATTTGCCTTGAAATAAAGCACAAAAATTATCTGGCTTCCTAGTAGACAAACAGAACAGCCATTCAGATAGCAAGCAAGCAGGAATAAGAACAGAGCTGGACAACACCACCTTGAAAGCCTTCACAAAAATCAAGGGGCTTAACCAAGCAGTTATTATGTTGGCAGATGTTATATACAGTAATTTCAATGTCTGGAAGTGGTATACTTGTGTACCTTTTGAGAACTTAGGTCAAGATCTTTTAACACTGTGAGTATGGGCAAAATACAACTTTTAAACACCTCATGACTTGGTCAGATGTGAGCAGAACACCCACAAAGAGCAAAAATGACACATTCCTGAAAGCTACATAATTCATTCCTAAAACCAAATTGTAACATGCCTCCCCAAAGTCATAAATCCTGTTCCAATAAGCAGCTCCAGTTTTATAGAAGAAATAAAAAAAAACCCCAATCCACTTAAAGCTGAGACTTCCTAGGGGAAGAAAATTCAGATGCAGATGCATGGACCAGCAAGTTTTACCCTGAATGGTTACAATTTAGCACAGGTATAAGAAAACAAACACAAAATTTTTTACCTCCTCAGCTACAGATCAGATCAACAGATCACCTTATGACCATAACACCTCAAACTCCCATATAGAGAGCAATGTGTAATGGATACATGAACATAAGAATAAAAAAAACACCTTACAATGACAATACAAATTATCAGCACTGGTTATTCAGCATCGATTAATGTAGGTGTTAAATAACACTTAGACATACTAAGCTATTACAAAACCTGCTGTAAGTACTCTAGCAATTTAAACATTAAATCCACTATTTTGGTGCAAGACCAGTCATACAGTCAGTGGAGTTTACAGGCACACTCTGTGCCAAGCGTAACTGTAAAACATGAGCATAAATCCACAGTTTTAATGGATTTGCATTTTATGTAGCTACTCCAAACTTTATATCATTAACTGTATTAAGCTATCTACATACCAAATTTTCCATTTGCATGACCTGTGCAAAAGTCAATAGAAATTTTATGAAAAGCTTTTAAAGGCATTTATTCTAGTCTTTTAAAAAAATGTAGATGTAATTTATGCCATGCATTTGTAAAAACTAAGATATTTCTTAGGAAAAAAAAGGATCAGTTCTTCACATAAAGTGAAATAAAAGGAGAAAAAGGTCACTGCTACAAGGGTTTTCATCATCAAGAGGAAGTTTTGGCAAAACATTTGATTTGAACAGCTAGAAATCCCTAACCTTCCAACATAGGCAGCATCTTTAATAAACCATCAAAGAATTTTTTTAAGTCCATGTTAAAAAGAAATATGGAAGAAAAGCTTATTTCTCCTATGAAACTGATTTTTAATATGTGCAATTTTTATCCACTAATTCAGATCTTAGGCTAAGCTTCCCCTTCATATCAGCTATACTTTAGTATCAAAAGCCAATCATTGCAGCCAAGCCCTCCAGAATCCTGCTACTTCACAGCAGAGAAGGTATTTGCCTCATTCAGAAGAGCAGCCAAAGCAGCAAGGGAATATAGATAATTCCTAACTGGATGATACAAATTAATCATACAGGCCCACACAGCCTACAATCCACTGAAAAGTAGCAATATGATTGTATAAAGTTTTGCTCAGTAGATCTATCAAGGCACTGAGAGGCACTCAAGAGAATAACATGGACTACAAAAGTACCTCATGAGAGAAACAGTAGTCTAGCAAGTAGAGCACCAAATAAGATTCAGGAATATTGCATTTTACTCTGTCTTCTGCTAGAGACCCCAGAAACTCTTTGGAAGTTACCTTATCTTTGTGCTTCTTTATTTTCTCATTTTTAACAAATGTTCTCCAGTCAGAAGGAAAAAACATTCAAACCTGTAAACTGCAAGGAATGCCTGTGGCCTCAATAACACACTGGATTAATTAAAGCTGATGTGGGGGGTTTGTCTGGTTGGTTTGCTTGGTTTTGTGGGGTTTTTTTTGAAGCTGTTCTTAAAAGAAAAAAAAAAAAAGTGGCAGTTTAGTTCTTATTGCTGATGAAATAGGCCTTGGAAAAAGATTACACGAACATAAGCAGAAGCACTGAAGCCTACCTGATTGCGCACAGAGCCTAAATCAACAGCTAAGATGCAAGATGCTTCATAGGTAACAGTCAAGAACCCACAGAGACGACAATTCTGCAGCCAGAGATTTAGGGGTTTTTCCTCCCCGTTTTACCCAACAGTGGTATGTTTCTTCCATGGAATTCAGTTGTTCTGAGCTGCAAGATGCCAGCA